AGTCCTGGCGGGTGCAGCCCTAAACCGCCCGGTCCTTCCACACTGGCCACCCCACTGCACAGGCCTGGCCACCGTAACCCCGTGATGGCGCTCTGCCCACGACCCAGACACATCCAAAACCATCTGGCGTCTGTCACAGCTCCAACCACGAGTCCTCTGATGATTTTCCTTTGTCTTCTGAATGAAGTGCAAATTATACGGTCTAAAGGGTGAGGTCATAGGTGGGGACCGACCCTGAATGACACGAGGAGCCACTGAAGGCTCAGTGACAGCCAAAGTGGCACCGTCGCAGTGGTGCTGAAAACAGTTCTGTGACCGTCACACCGCAACCACGCAGGGGCTCCAGATGGAGCCCAGCTGAAGGACGTGCCACAGAAGAGCCCACCCCGCACCCTCTGGAAATGTCACGGCCAGGGAAGACCAGGACTGAGGGGCTGTCGGACTGGGGGAACCAGCGGACGCGATGACCAGACACGGTGTGGGGCCCGGAAAAGAAAACTGGAGTAGGGAGTGAGTGGAGAGTGAACGAAGCCGACGGCCTGTGCCGACCCCACGTCCTCGGCTTGATGGTTAAGGACTTGATGGTTAATGACGGTTGTGCTGGGCCCTCCCTCACCCCCTTCCCTGCAGAGTCCCGCACCACGAAGACTGGCCCTGCCCAAAGGGCAGGAGACAGCCGTTCCTCACGGCCAGGCCCCCGAGGAGCAGAGCACGGCGGGCCCAGGAACCTCACTTTTAGGCTAAATCTGGAGCTGTGAAGCCCCACGCTGCAGAGGGGGCTGCGGGCCCTGCGATAAGCCCCTCGGAGGCCCAGCGCGGGTGAGTGGGGGTCCACCCGGGCGGCTGCATGAATCTGGCTCCCAGCATCTCAGGGATGCAGGCGACACGCCCTCAGGAAGCCAGGTCCTGGCAGAAGAGGGTCCCTAAGCCAAGCAGACACTGGAGGCCCAGAGGGCAGGAGCGGTGGTCTCCAGCCCCACCTGGCCTGCAGGACAAGGACAAGAGCCGGGACAGTCACCGCTAACCCCTTGGTCATTCTGGTCACTCTAAGCGTCCTCATCTAAAAACACGAGGTGTCAGCACGCACTCCACGCGCTGCCGTGGGGGCAAACGAGATGTCACATGCAAACCCAGCTCAGCACAGAGAAAGCCTGATGAGTGACAGGAGGGGCGCCGTGACGACAACCACACTGCTGCAGCTGCGGGAGGGACCCTGTGACCAAGGCGGAGCCGGAGGCGGTCCCCGCAGGCCCCGGGGTGTCCAGCACCACAGGAGAGGGGCGCGTGCCCCTGCCCCAGGAGAAGCCTCCACGCCCTTCAAGCTACAGCAAAGGCCTACAGAACGCACCGTCTCCGCAGCACGGACCTTCCCCTGTTCTCCCCTGGGAGCAGCAATAAAGGGCTGAACGCAAAAGGTCTGTTTTAAAACGAAAGGTCCCTGCTTTCAAGGCAGCAAAGGGCTTTCTGGGGGACTGTGGCCTTTCTGGCCAAGTGCACGGCCTGCAGGAGGGGCTCAGAGGTGCGGACGCCTGGGCTGGCAAGGGCAGGTGTGGGGAGGGGGCGGCTGAGTGAAGAACCCGAGGCCCCCGAGCCACATGGGCTGTGCCCACCATGCCAGACACCACCCCGAATGTCCTGGTGCCGCGTGGCTCGGAGGACGACCCGCCCAGGGCCACGCAGGCCCCACAGTGCCGCCACAAGGCGCGAGCCTCACGGGCGGAGGTCTGTGCTGCTCTCGCAGCTGCAGCCCCAGTGCCCAGGACGCTGTGGAGTGGCTCCCTGGGGGAGAAGAGGCGACGCCGGCCACGGCCTCCTCCGTGGGGTGGGAGGGCGCCTGCCCGTGCCGTGTCACACACCAGGACCTGTGCGCTCCCCTCCACTCCCGGTCCTCACCCCTCGAGCACGCACCCCAGCACCACGTGCCGGGCGCTGGACTGGCCGGCTCGCCCAGCTGCCACGCCCCCAGCAGGCTGTGCCTGTGCCTCCCACCCCAGTGGGCCGGGCGGGGCAGCCGACTCACCATGCGGAACTGGGCCTGGGCCTGCTGCAGCAGGCTCTCCCGCTCCGCCTGGGCGGTGCTGACGAAGATGCCGACCTCCGGGCTGAACTGCAGGGCGCTGCCTTGCAGGCGGGCGACAAAATGGCCGAAGCTGCGGATGCAGCAGATGCGCACAACCGACTGTGAGGGAACACGTGCGTCGGCCAGCTGAGCAGGGCCACCCACCGCCTCAGCCCTCAGCCGCCGGCGCTGCCTGGGAAGCCCCGCAGCCGGGGCAGGGGGGCGGGGCAAGATGCCCCAGCTGCCAGCAGGGCAGTGGGCACGCAGAGACATCTTGGACCAGGCCCGTGGGCACCAGGGTGGGGGTGATGACACCCACTTCCACTGCCATCTGCGTCTCAGAGCCCGTGTGTGAAACGAGGGGCTGAGATTGGCCAGCGTGTCTAACTTGCTTTTTTGGTCAACAGGACTTTTTTCCCCACTGGAAACACCCCACCTAGAACCCTAAAAATACTGAAGACTAAAGCTAAGTTGCTCTGGAGACAGCAATGGTGCGGGGGTGGGGGGGGCGGTGTCTGCTTGGCTTCCCTCTGCTGCCCCCAGGTGGCCCACGTGGTGACAGACAGGTCTAAGGTGAAAGTCACTGGACCAGGTGGGCAGCACGTTCCCTCCAAGATCTAGCGCTGACCTCAGTCAGCTGGGGGTGGGGGGGTGGCAGAGTAGAAAAAAGGCTGACGCAGGTCCCAAAGCTCTAAGGACCTTGTGACCTGTCCTCTAGAGAGAGTGGGCCGGGGGAGGCGGCCTGTCCGAACACAGAGGCCCTGTGCGAGGACACCCTGCCCAGCAGGGAAAGCTCAGGGGGCTCGCTGCATGAAGGACTCAGCACAGCCCCAGGGACACCCCCAGCCGGGCGGGGCAGCGGCCGCTCCAGACCTTGCTCTGCCACCGCGCCTGGCCTGACGGCAGCAGCCGAGCACCCTCACCTCCTCCCTTCACCTCCTCCCTTCACCTCCTCCCCTCACCTCCTCCCCTCACCTCCTCCCCTCACCTCCTCCCCTCACCTCCTCCGCCGGGCTGAGCAGGGGCCGGTCGGCATCAAAGTGAAAGTGCCGGTGTGCGGGCCGCAGCGGGGGCAGGCTCCGCAGCGCCATGTCCTCGGGGAGCGGCAGGCTGGAGGGGGCCTCGGGCAGGTCGCAGCCTTCCAGAAGATCCTGCACCTCAGGACACAGGGCCAGGCCTGGGGAAAGAGGACCCATGGGGCCGCCTGCCCGGCTGACGATGACACACCCCCGGGCCGGTGGGGAGATGGAGGGAAGAAAGGGACATGTGGGGGCCGCAGGCTCCAACTGCAGGGCAGTCGAGAGGCGGGGAGGGAGGGATCCATCTGGAAGTGGCAGGAGGGGACGAGCCAGACGGATGGGCTCCAGAGGTCAAGGCTGACTCTCAGTGACCCAGGCACCTGGATGGCACCAGCGGCTGAGGCTGGCTTCCAGGACCCCGTGACTCTGCTCCTGCCCACTTCACTGCCTTCCCCAGGGAGCACACTCCCAGCTGACCAGGCCACCTGCCCACAGTGGGGCAGTGCTGGGGTGAGAAACCAGAGCGGCCACGATGGCTGCCGTGTGAGTCAGCAGTGGCTCCCATTACCCTTTTCACCCGAGGGCCAGGGCGAGGGCGAAGGCCAGGGCGAGGGCGAGGGCCAGGGCGAGGGCCAGGGCGAGGGTGAGGGCAGGCGTCCCCGGAGGGGGAAGGGCTCAGGAGGGGTGCGGGGGGAGGGGTGTGCCAAGGGCTTGCTCACCAGACTCTTGGAGCTCACCAGCAGCTGGTAACAGGTTCAGCAACACCGACAGGCGGTTCCACAGACTTTGAGAGCTCTGGGGACAGAGGCAGAGGGGCCTCAGCGAGGGCGGTAGGCGGACTGTGGTCACCAGCCTGGAAGGGTCTGCTGGAAAATGACCAGAGGCCGGCGGGGCTGGCGGAGGACTTGGAAACAGGAAGCGGGCCCGTGAGGGATGAGGGTGGCCACGGAGCCTGGCCGCCCTTCACCGGCAGCTGAAGGCGTCTCGGACAGAGAAGGCAGAGGGAAGAGCCGGGCGCCTAGGGAGGCCTCCTCCCGTCCCGCATGCACCTTGTCTTCCACGCCTCGTGCCCACTCGCGGACACTCCGCAGGGAGGCGACCACATCCCCACCATGCTGCACCTCCCCCGGTGACTGAACGGGACTGATTAGGCTGTCATCCGAAAAAAGCATGCAGCCGAGTGTGTGCCTGGCCCTGAGCCGCTCCCGCTGAGGGACGAGGGGGACCCGCAAGGACAGGGTGCCTCCCCGCAGGACAGGTGTGCTACCTGAACGAAGTGGGGCAGAAGCCTCAGGACGCCAGAGGCTCAAGATGGAAACCAAGGCCGAAGGGGAGGAGCCCGTCTTAGCTCCAGCCGGCCTCCTGTCCCTACCCCGGGCTCCTTCACACCCTGCCTGGAAACCCTGCCAGCCCCAGACCTGTCTCCTTCGTCAGTACCCAGCACGGCCCCCTTCCCGAGATGCTGACGCACGCTCGCACCACGGCCACCCCTGGTGGAGGCTTCGCCCGGCACTGAGCCGCGACACAGAACACGCAGCCTCCTCACTTCCTACCCGCGCAGGGGGCGCCCCGGACCACAGGCTCTCCCAGGACCACGGTCATGCCTAGGCGTCCCCTGCGGAGAGCCCAGAAGCCCCACGAGCAGGTGCTGCACTGACTCTTGCCCCAGCCTGGCTGACACCCCGGGACCAGGGGAAGGGCGGTGGGGCTGTGGCAACACCTGCGCGCACACGACGATGAGATCGGGGTTGGTCCGCAGCCAGTCCAGGAAGATCTTCACGGCGGGGAGCAGGCCTTCGGCCATCAGGACCTGCAGCTTCTCCTGGATGCTGTGCTCATTCGGACAGGAGCGTCCGCTGGACTCACTCCCCTCTGACTCAGAGCCGTCCTCAGAGGCTGGGGATGGGGGACAGAGGCGGGTGAGCCAGTGGCACATGGCAACAGGCTTGAGCTCACTGGGCAGGCAACCCTCACTCACCTGGGCTCCCCTAAGAGTCTTCACAGGAGGGCGGAGGGATCACCTTCCCCTGCCAGCGTGCCTGGGCCCACCACCTCCCAGACAGCTGCTTGTAAGTCAAGAGCCTGGTGCCACTTTAAATATGATTCTTTTAGGCTCAGGCTGTTTCGGGAGACTGATCTACAGCTGTCCTCAACCAACATTTATGAAGGGCCCCGCACAGGCTAGTCGGAGGGCGGGGGGAGGTCAGGGGCCCAGCAGCGGGGCCTCCAGCTCCCGCCCCGCCAACTTCACACGCTCCGAGACGCTGGGCGGGTCGCTCCAGCGGAGCGTCGGCCTCCTCACTGCTTTTACTCATCCCGTCTCCTCGGTGCCCCCGCAGGCCGGGCAACGTGCTCGGCACTGAGGACGAACGCAGCTGGCCTGCCCTCGGGAGGCCCGCGGGCGAGCAGGGAAGGCGGACCGCTGTGGGGGAAGGGCTGCAGCTGCGCAGGTGCAGAGGCCGCAGCAGCCCACGGAGAGGACACCTACTCACCTCGCAAGTCCAGACCGAGTCACTAAGAAAACATCTACAGGGCGAGTAAGAACTAACCGAGCGACACGCTCGGGGCGCGAGAGGAAGCGTGCTCCAGCCCTGAGGGAGCAGCACGCACAGCGGGCCGGGGGGCGGGGGGAGGAAGGCCAGCACCGAGACTGGGGAGCTGTCCAGCACCAAACTGCCACGAAAGGAAGGCAAGACAGGGTCCAGAGCTTGGCAAGGAGGCAGCTCAGCCAGCACTCGCCACCGGCCACTCCCTGTGCAGGGGAGACCCTCAGGCCTCACTCTAACCCACGGCCCTGCTGAGTGCGGGTTCTCCCAGCTTCCGGGAGCCCTGGCGGGACTTGGGATAGCATTGGGCGGGGGGGGGGGAGGGAGGGGCACAGCCACACTTGTCATGTGCGGAGGAAAGCCCCGAACCCAGAGGGCGGGGTGCAGGGGAGCCAAATAAAACCACGAGACAGGCTGGGAGCTGGGAGTGGGGAGTGGGGGCAGACGAACTGGCAGAGAGCAGGGGTCCCTCAGCGAGTGCCAGTGGGACCGAGGTGGGGACCGGAGCCTTGCCCAGTACCTGGGTCCGAGGGCCTGTCCACGTCCCCGTTGACGCAGGGCCTACAGCTGGCCAGGGCGTGAGGCTCAGCGGCGGGCTGGGGGAGCAGGTTGCTGAAGGTGGGGGCCAGTCGGAAGCAGCGCTTGGTCTGGAACATCTGGGTGGACATGGCCTGCAGGTTGCTGGCAATGCTGGCTTCGTTGGGGCCCAGGGGGCCGTTGAGGGACTCGGGAGCCTCCGACCTGGCCCGAGGGGGCTCCGGGGCTGGGGACCGTGTCCCCTCCTCATCCTCCATGTCCTCCAGGTCTGACCGAGACTCCTGGCTGTTCATTTCTGAGTCCGTCTCGGCGTCAAAGGCTGCGCCTCCACCGTCGAGGCTCTTGTCGGAGCCGCTCTCCGAGCCCTCGCTGGCCCGGGCCGAGTTGTGGCTCGAGTCCGACTCAAAGCCTTCGCTCAGATCACTGTCATCCCCAGCTTTGGGCAGGTGGCGGCGCCGCCGGAGGCAGGAGAGGCGAGACAACCTGCGGCTCCTCCTGGCCTCACTGGCTGGAGGTGCTGCGGGCGGGGGCTCGGGCCCCGGGCCCTCCTCTTTCTCCAAGGGCTCCTTGGACTCGGGTTCGTCTGTGGAGAGAGAACGGTCACGTGGGGCCTAGGGACAAACTGGGGGCCAGGAGCGGGGAGACGCCCTCGACGCCACCTCCCCGGCCACGCCTGTGTGCCCCCCGGATCCCCACGCCCACGCCCGCACCTGTGCTGTCGCTCTGCAGCGCGGGGACCGGGTTCTCGCCCTCCTCCAGCTCGGCCTGCAGCCGTATGTTGACGTGGTTGACGAGGTGGGAAAACAGGGCCAGGGTGAAGGCGATGGCTGCGCTGTACTGCTTGGACCCTGCGGCCGGGAGGGCCCGGAGTCAGGGGCCCGGGGCCCTGGCCACTCCCACCCGCCTCACCCGTCCCAACCTTTCCAAGGGTCTGACCACCTCTCAAAGCTGCTTCTGAGGTAAAAACGTCCCTCGGGCTCTGCACCGTTATCCTCTGACCTAGGACGCGCCAGCTCCCCGGGCGCTTCCTCACATACATGTGCTCTCGTCACGTCACCTGCCCTGGCTCTGCTGTCTACACAAGGCTCCCCCCGAAACCCCAGTACCCTCACACCCAGCCCTGCCTGTGTCCTCCCTGCTCCCCAACCCTGCTCCGCGTTCACCTCTGCCTGGAAGGTTTGCACACCTGACCCTGTCCACCCGGGTCCTGGCCTCAGCGGTGTGTTCGTGGGAGGGGTGAGCAGGGGAGGGGATGCGTGGCTGCCTTCGTCCACTCACCAGGAGGTCCTGACCGGCAAGGCCCCATCCCCGACCCTCCCCCGGCCCAGCAGTGACACACGTGACACGGTGGTGGCAAGGGCAGCTTGCGGGAGAGAGTTTACAAAGCAGCAGCTGCAGGGAAGACCGGCGAGGGTCCTGGAAGTCGGCGGGCAGGGGGGACCCAGGCAGAGGCACCTGCTCTCTTCAGGCTGTGCACACCCATGAGGCAGATGACGACCATCTGGAAGATGAGCAGGTCCGGGAGGAAGGCACACCCGCCCTCGTTCTCCTCCCCGTCCTCACTGGCCAGGCTCAGGTTGGGTGACGAAGGCAGGTAGAAGAGACAGAGGTTGAAGTCCTCCAGAACCGACTGGCAAAGCGACGTCAGCTCGGCGTCCACAGAGCTGCAGGAGGGCAGGAGTGGCAGTGGAGGTCAGCGATGGGGGCCAGGGCGGGCAGAGAGCAGGGAGTACCACGCACGGGCTCAGGGGGTCCCATGGGGGACGGGAGAGGGCGGCAGGGGCCAGCACCGGCGGGCTTCTGTTCAGTGGCTCCTTCAACATCTGGCCAGAGCCCACTCCGTACCAGAGGGAGAGCTGCCGGGAGAATGGGCCCAGAACCCGTGGGCGAAACAGCGAGGGAGGCCGAGAAGGGGCGAGCTGGCTGGGGACCCCGGGAGGCAGCCGGCGCCCCCACGGCTCACAGGGCACAGGCGCCTCGCGCTGCCCTCACCTGCTCTTGGGCTGCAGCAGGCTCTGCAGATACATGAAGTTCACCAGCAGCCTCTTGACGTCTTTGCATCTGAAACAGGGGGGCCCAGGAGGCGGCGGTGAGCGGCCGGTGGCCTCCCCGCTGC